GATTACTCCCCAGGGATCAGAAGGGAAGCTGAAGGTGCCCCCAACCTACATGTGAGACAGGTTATGCTGGTCTTAGACCCATGTCCAAAGTCAGGTACCCACCCCTTACTACTTGGAACATTTCTTATTGTGGAAGTCAACATGGCTGGCCACCTGTTATCTGTGTCCAATCTGCTTAGGTTCACAACAGTGACAACATACAGATAAAAAAAATGTGCATTTGGCCTAACTACCAGACATCTGCCCACAGGTTGGCAAAAGTCAAAGAGAGAGGCAAGAATCGATCTCCCCATCCAAATACCTGTATAAACTCAGTAGGCAAAATGTGCTTGTGGAAAACAATATCAGCAGATGCTTGAACCCATCCTGCCACTGTGATCTGGACTCTTAAATCATCCTTGGACCCCCAAGATCTCCACAAGCCACTCTCACCAGGGCCTAAATGCAGAGGGACCCTGCTCAGTGCCCCCATAAACATGTCAACACACCTCATTTGAGGATAGTCCCTGGTAAAACCTACCTGGATTCCAGCATCTTGCACTTAACCAGCACTCTGCACTCAGTCTGTGCAAATATAGACGTCATCATCTGGGGATGAGGACTCCAGGGACAGCAGTTGCATCAGACACCCTCTGGGTCCTCCTTTCTGCTAGGGAGAAATTAGTTGCAATGAAAGCCTGGAACCCTTGATATTTGGATTATCCCTGGAGGATTACAGGAAAACATTTCTCAATTAACCACAAGAGGAATGGGTAATGCTGATGTAGATCAATCAGTGTGGCAAACATCTAAGTTCTTTTGTTTGGGAGAAGGATATGTGTGTATCCATTGCTACAAATGAACACACACAATGTGATGTCCAGGACATTTCTTTTTTTTTTTTTTTTTGACAGGCAGAGAGACAGAGTGAAAGGTCTTCCTTCCATTGGTTCACCCCCCAAATGGCCACTACGGCCAGCATGCTGCGCCAATCTGAAGCCAGGAGCCAGGTGCTTCTCCTGGTCTCCCATGTGGGTGCAGGGCCCAAGCACTTGGGCCATCCTCCACTGCCTTCCTGGGCCACAGCAGAGAGCTGAACAGGAAGAGGAGCAACCGGGACAGAACCGGCGCCCCAACCCGGACTAGAACCCAGTGTGCCAGCACTGCAGGTGGAGGATTAGCCTAGTGAGCCGCAGTGCCAGCCCAGGAGATTTATTTTGAGCTAAAAAATGAGGCAGTGATGGTGAAGGGACAGTCAGCCACTTGGCAGCTTCCCTGGCTTGGGACAATTCTTCCTCTAAACTCTTCTTGAGAGGTCTCCAAGACTGTAGAGAAGCAGCAATGTGGAGGTGGATGGTTCTAGTGCCAATGATGTTATCCATAGAAAGGACAAGGGCCAGAGAGGCACTGCAGGAAGTAATAGGTGACTCTCTCAAGGGCAAAGCAGAGAGATTTATAGAGTATTGCTTAAAATAAAGCTGAGTCAGACAGGTGGCAACAGGGTAGAACCAGAAGGAAGCAGGAACAAAAGTGAGACATGGGGGCCAGCACTGTGGCATAGAAGGTAAAGCCACCGCCTGCAGTGTCAGCATCCCATATGCGTGCCAGTTTGAGTCCTGGCTGCTCCACTTCCAATCCAGCTCTCTGCTGTGGTTTGGGGATAGCAGTAGAATATGGCCCAAGTCCTTGGGCCCCCTGCACCCATGTGAGAGAGCCAAGAAGCTCCTGGCTCCTGGCTTCAGATTGGCATAGCTCCAGCCATTGGGGCCATCTGGGAGAGTGAACCAGTGAATGGAAGACCTCTCTCTCTCTCTCCCTCTCCTTCTCTCTGTAACTCTTTCAAATAAATAAATAAATAAATCTTTTTTTTTTTAAAGTGATACATGGTGAGTCCCTGATACATAGTGGGTAGTGGCCATCAGAAACATTCTTGGGTCATGCCAACCTTCTCAAATTCCAAGCCCATGACAGACATTAGTAATTGATCTACCTGTGAGTTTGGTTCAAGCTACTCAACCTGGCATTCCATACAACCAGGTCTTAAAAGCTGGATTTAACATTCATTGTGCAATCTGCTTTGCAAGCCAACAATCAAGGCAGTCTTTACGGAGGTAAGGAGTTTGCATGGAAACTCAGCACTCTGCTTCCTCAATTAAGAAGGTCTTGGGGTGCAACATTGTGAAATAGCAATGCCAGCTTCCCATATCAGAGAGCTGGTCCAAATCCCAGTTGCTCCACTTCTGAGCCAGCTTCCTGCTAATGTGCCTGGGAAGACAGAGGAAGATGGTACAACTCCATGTGAGAAACCTGGATGGAGTTTCTGGCTCCTGGTTTTATCCTAGCCCAGACCTGACTGAAGTGTTATCCGGTGTTTCTAAACATAAAGTCCTGGGGCCAGTGCTGTGGGTTAACGCCCCTGCCTGAAGTGCCAGCATGCCATATGGGCGCCAGTTCGAGACCCGGCTGCTCCACTTTCTATCCAGCTGTGACTTTCAAATAAATAAATAAATCTTTAAAAAAAAAAAAAAAAAACATAAGAAAGTCCTGGGGCTGCCACTGTGGCACAGAGAGCTAAGCTGTTGCCTGCAATGCTGACACCCCACAACTCAAAATCAGTTTGAGTCCCGGCTGCTCCACTTCTAAGCCAGCTCCCTGATAATGTGCCTGGGAAAGCAGTGAAGGATGATTGAAATGTTTGTGCCCCTGACACCACATAGAAGGCCTAGATGGAGTTCCTGGTTCCCAGCTTCTGATTGGACCAGCCCCCAGCCATTAGGGAGTGAATCAGCAGATGGAAGATTCTCTCTCTCTCCTCTTCAAATAAATGAATCTTTTTTAAAATAAAGTTTTGATGTGCCTTACAGAAAAAACAGGAGGCGGTTAAGCTTCTTTCACCCAAAAGTTATAACGCTGTTGACTGTAAAGTCAGAGAGTTATTGAACTGAAATAAATTGGGACGCACCTGTGTCCATACTTGGGTGATGAAATTTGTCCGAAGCCAGCCTCCATACCCCATAAACTGCAACCTAGCTTGATCTGCAAAGAAGTTATGACTTAGCCTAGAAGTATACTCTGGTAACCAGGCAACAGAGCCTCACCCAATCACAGCAGCTGAGCCCTCAGCCAATCTCAAAGTGAAGGCTGCCAAATTATGTTCAAATGAGGCAAAGTCATCCCTGCATGGAATTTCTTGCTTCTCTGGTTGGAGATGCGGTTCACCACTTGTAGGTGGGGGCATGCTGAACCATCTTCAGTGTGGAGCAACGCCTGCTTGTAAACCCATGTCTTGCTCAGATCACTTTTTATTAAAATTTAAGAAAGTTTAATTAATTGGTCTCAGGGTTTTTGTTTTTCAGCAGGAAAACAATACTAAAGGGATTTCAAAATTTCCACAGAAAATACACACTAATTTTTTTACACTATTTTTTAATTCATTCATTCATGAGTTTGTTGAAGACACCCCATATATGTTAAGTAAGGTGTCTCTCAACAGAAATACACAAAACACAACACTTCGTATTAATTGTTGATGAAAATGTTATGACCAGAGCTGAAGTCTCAGCCTCCACTAATCCAGTGTCACAGCAATCTTATGGAACAGAGCTACCACAATAAAGAGAATCAGTCGTTTTTGGTGTGGCATCTTTGCAACCCTGTAACATCTTGCAAGTTAATAAATCAGTTTATTCAGCTTTGTTGTTTCAGCTCTAGTTTAACAAATCCCACTCTCCAGCAGAGTAATAAATCTAGACAGAACTAGCAGTTACACCTATCCTACTTAGATAGCCCCATAATGTATTCAGTAGCACTGTTCCTGGGTATCTTACTACCAAATGCATGCACACATACTACTTAAAAAAATCACTTTTTATTTTTTTTAACTAACAGGATACCTGATGCCACCCAATGCAGCCATGGTTTTGAAGCATTTCTCCTGAGTGATTGTGCAGACTCCTATCCCTTGTTGAAACGATTCTTTGCTCTCAAATGCAACCCCTGGTCCTCTTGTCTGTGCTGAAGACCTCTTGCATTCCATCCAGCCTCACTCCTGCCAAGGGAAAGCATGGGGGAAACTAGGAGAGGAGACAGATTGCCTGCACACACACACCACGTAGTAGCAGTACAGAGAAGGGAAGTCAAGGAAGGCTTCCAGGAAGAGGTGTCTCACTGAGATTGGTTGATTGGTTGAATGGCAAAGTTACAGAGGAGAGACAGATCTTCCATCTGCTGGTTCACTCACTCACCAAATGGCATCAAGGGCAGGGGCTGGGTCAGGCCAAAACCAGGAACCTGGAACTCCATCTGGGTATTCCATGTGAGTGGCAGGAGCCCAAGTACTTGAGCCATCTTCATTGTTTTCCCAGGAACGTTAGCAGGGAGCTGGATCAGAAGTGGAGCAGCCAGAGTCTGGCATTGCGCTGTAATGGGTAAAGCCACCACCTGCAATACCAGCATCCGATATGGGTGGGTGCTGGTTCAAGTCCCAGCTGCTCCACTTCTGATCCAGCTCCCTGCTAATGTTCCTGGGAAAGCAGTGGATGATAACCCAAGTTATCATCCTGCACTCATGTAGGATAACCTTGCACCCATGTAGGAGACCCAGAAGAAGCTCCTGGCTCCTGGTTTTGGCCTCCAGTGGCCATTTGGGAAATGAACCCGCAGATGGAAGATTCTCTCTCTGTCTCTCTCTCTCTCTCTGTCTCTCTCTCTCTCTCTCTGTCTCTCTCTCTCTGCCCTTCTATGTAATCTTCATTTCAAATAAACAAGTGGAGGGAGCAGCTGGACTGGAAGGACAGGCAGGCATATGGGAAGAGTCTAAGTGTGGATTTTCTAATATTCCAAGGAGGCCTGTGACCAGCTTGCCACGGCCTGTAAACATAGCCTTCCCGCATGGCCAGGCACCAGGGTCTTACCAGATTCTGAGGCCGGGAGCCGTGTGAGAGCCCCTTCTTCTGGAACGTTCTGTCCTTTGGCCCCAAATGTGGCAAGAAGGCGGGAGGGGCCATGGGGAACAGATGTGGATTCTGGGGCAAGGAGGGCTAGGCAGGGCGGTCCCTGGCCCTGTATTGTGAGGTTATAGCACGCCCCCCCCCGGGGTGGGGGAGGGGGCGGAGGCAAGATGATGTCATAGACCTCTGCCCCCCTCAGTCCACCTCGCTCTCTGGGTGCTCACCCCGGCCAGGCCTCAGCCTCTCCTTCCCTCTGTATGCAACGCACCCCAAGGGGAGGTGAGGCCACCAGGGAGCCTCACCCAGGCCACCTGCAGCCATGGATGAAGATTATCCCATGCACCCCCGGGAGCCTGAGTCTTCCCTGGAGGCCCCCAGGCCGGTCGCAGAGACCAGCTCGGACTCCCCTGGCATGGTGGGCGACCGGCTGCCCCCGAGAACGGGCGCCGTGGTGATCGACATGGGCACGGGCACCTGCAAAGTGGGCTTCGCCGGGCAGGCTCGGCCCACCTACACCGTGGCCACCCTCATGGGCTGCCAACCCAAGAAGCAGGCCACCGAGGGGCAGCCCGAAATGGAGACGTTCATCGGCGAGGCGGCACGCGCGCACCCGGAGCTGGCGCTGGTGCAGCCGCTGCGCCACGGCATCGTGGTGGACTGGGAGGCTGCCGAGCTTATCTGGCGCCACCTGCTGGAGCACGACCTCAAGGTGGCCGCCCAGGACCACCCGCTGCTCTTCTCGGACCCGCCCTTCAGCCCCGCCACCAACCGCGAGAAGCTGGTGGAGGTGGCCTTCGAGTCGCTGTGCGCGCCTGCCATGTACGTAGCCTCGCAGTCTGTGCTGTCCGCCTATGCCCACGGCAGGGTCAGCGGGCTGGTGGTGGACACCGGCCACGGCGTCACCTACACCGTGCCCGTCTTCCAGGGCTACAACCTGCCACACGCCACGGAGCGCCTGGACCTGGCAGGCAACCACCTGACCGCCTTCCTGGCCGAGGTGCTGCTGGGCTCTGGCTTCCCTCTGGGGCAGCACGACCTGGACACCGTGGAGAGCATCAAGCACCGCTACTGTTACGTGGCCGCGGACTTCCAGAAGGAGCAGGCGCGCTCAGAGCAGGAGTGCAGGCAGACGCTGAAGCTGCCCGACGGGCGGACGGTCACGCTGGGCAAGGAGCTGTTCCAGTGCCCGGAGCTGCTGTTCCACCCTCCCGAGATCCCGGGGCTGTCGCCCGTGGGCCTCCCCACCATGGCAGAGCACAGCCTCCGCAAGGTGTCGCTGGAGGTGCGCTCGGACGTGGCGCACAACGTGCTGCTGTGTGGCGGCTCCTCCCTCTTCCCCGGCTTCGAGGGCCGCTTCCGCGCCGAGCTGCTGCGCTCCCTGCCGCCCGAGGCCCACGTGGTGGTGGCGGCACAGCCCACCCGGCACTTCTCCGTGTGGATCGGGGGCTCCATCCTGGCCTCGCTGCGCGCCTTCCAGTCCTGCTGGGTCCTGCGGGAGCAGTACGAGGAGCAGGGCCCGCACATCGTGTACCGCAAGTGCTACTGAGTGGGGCGGGGAGGGGAGGCCATCCGCCTAACATAAAGCTCCTGCTGCCAGCCGGCTCGGTTCTGTGCGCCCCGCTGTGGGACCCTGCCCTGCCCTGCCCTGCATTTCCTTGGAGACACCCCGGTCCTGATCTCACCTCCCCCACGACCAACCCTGAGGACGCCTCTGTTAGCTTAGTAGTAGTAGTAGTAGTAGTAGTAGTAGTAGTAGTAGTAGTAGTAGTAGTTATGTTATTCGAGAGGCAGAGAGAAAGAGACAGGCAGATCTTGCATCCACTGGTTCACTCCCCACGAATGCCCACGGCAGCTGGGACGGAACCACTCATATTGGGAGCCGGGCGCTCCATCCGGATTTCCCCTGGGTGTGGCACAGCCCCAAGTACTTGAGCCACCACCTGCTGACACCTAGGGTGCACCTTAGTGAGTTCACTAAGGAGCAGAGCCAGGAATCAAACCTGGGCTCCAAACAGCCTCCTAACAGCCAAACACCTGTGCTTTAAAAAAAAAAAAAAATCATCTCTCTTGCTCTCGCTCTTGCTCTCTCTGCCTTCCTAACCTCATCCCTTTTTTTTTTTTTTTTTAAGATTTTATTTGGAAGTCAGTTACAGAGAGGAAAGAGACACAGAGATCTTCCATCCACTGGTTCACTCCCGAAGTAGCTGCAATGGCCAGGGCTGGCCCAAGCCAAAGCCAGGAACCAGAAGCTTCTTCCAGGTCTCCCACATGGGTGCAGGGACCCAAGCACTTCAGTCATCTTCCATTGCTTTCCCAGGCCACTAGCAGGGAGCTGGGTCCAAAGAGGAACAGCCAGGTCTCATATGGGTGCCCATATAGGATGCCAGCACTGCAGGTGGCAATTTAACCTACTGAGCCGCAGCACAGGCCCCAGCCAACATCAGTCTTATGCAAAAATTTTCCAGAGTGGACAACTTAATTTTTTGTGGCAGCCTGAACCGTTCAATAAACAAGAACTCCCAGAAGGTTCTAGGGCGGTGTGTGAGTGTTTTGGAAACTATATGAATACTTGACGGAGACTATAAGGAAAAAGATTTATTTTGGCTCTTGGTTTTGGGAGTTCACAAACAGACCCCATTGATTCAGCCTCTGGTGAGGGCATTTTTTTTCCAAGATTTATTTATTTACTTGAAAGGCAGAGTGACAGTGAGAGAAGGAAAGATAGAGATCATCCATCCACAGCAGCCAAGGCTGAGCCAAGCTGAAGCCAAGACCTCTATCCAGGTCCCCAGTGTCGGTGGCAGGAATCCAAGCACTTGGGCCATCTTCTGCTGCTTTCCCAGGTGCATTAGCAGGGAGCTGGATCGGAAGCAGAGCAGCCAGAATTCAAACAGGTGCCCATATGGGATGCCAGCATCACACACTGGCCCCCATGAGGGCGTTCACGCAGGCAGTCCCAGCATGACAAGGAGAAAACCACACAGCAAGTCACAGGTAAGCGGTGCATCCGTGTCTGTCCCTGGCTCCTCGTGGAGTCACCAGGGCAGCAGGTGTTTGGACCGGCAATCAGGTCCTGCATCCCATGCCAGATTGCCTCAGGTTCCATTCCCAATTGCAGCTTCTTGCTCGCACACACCCTAGGAGCAGCAGGCAGTGGCAGCTCGGGTCGCTGCCACCCAGGTGGGAGACTGGAGTTCCCAGTTACTCACTTTGACCTGGCCCAGTCCTGGCTGTTGTCAGCATTTATGGAGTGAACGGGTGGACAATGGCTTTTCTCTCTCTCTCTCTCTCTCTCTTTCTCCCTCTCCCTCCCTCCCTCCCTCCAGGATTCAACTATTGTTAGGTCTGCAATAGCTTGGCGTTCTGGTCTCTCATACCCCCAAAAAGGAGAGACAGAAAAAGAGACAGAGACCGACCTCAACAGAAACAGGTTGCTTTATTGGAAGCAAAGAGGTTCACACACGGGATGCATTTGACCTCAGGTTTTATCCATTTAAGAGGAAATTCGCCACGGGGCTGGGGAGGGGAGTATAGAAGGCAGCTGGGGAGCTCTTTGAAGTCTCAGGGGATTCCCCTCTTACCTGTTTCATAGCTGCTGCCCTGTGTAACTTATCTGTTTTGCCATTTGCACTGCAAGGAGTTGAGGAAGGATCTCAACAAAAGGGAGGATGTAGGGACAAAGGAGAGGATGTGGGGCAAGGAGAGGGAAGGAGGAAGAACAGGAGGAGGAGAAAAGTGCCACAAGTCCTTTATTTTTTTTTTACATAGATAGATTTATAAAACCCACCCCTCACTCCTAAGATGGAAGGAGCTGGGGAAAGTAGAAGAAGTGGGAAAAAAGGGCCCAGAAAAAGTGGAGGGAATGGAGAGGCATGGCTCCAAAGGAGGGAGAGGGTCTCTTTCCTCAAGTTAAGGTGGGGCACAGGAGCTCCGTTGACAGTCATCTTGCGCCCCCTGCTGGTGGAGGATGGGGCCTGCAGGCAGTTCTAGGTGCCCTCGTTGGCAGCTGCGACGGCCCCACCGGCAGCCGATGGGGGAGTAGGGGAGGTGGAGTGGGTGGCCGGGGGGGGGTGGTCATGGGCACTGGGAGAGCCATGGGAGGGAGTGGCTGGGCTGGGCAGGGCGGAGGAGGTGGCTGGCAGGGTGGCAGGGCTGGGAGCCTTGTCGCTGATTGACTCACGCTGGTATTGGTGCCCTCGGAGGGCGTGGGTGAGCCACTTGCAGGCCGGCTGGACAAGGTAGTTGAAGGGCAGTGGGCCGTTCCTCCGCTACGGGTAGATGTAGGCGATATCCATGAGAGTGTAGTATTCCTTCCGTGGCTCCACCTCCACCTTGTACTTGCTCGGCACATCCATCCTGTTGCTGAACTTGGCGAGTTGCATGAGGGTCATGGCCGCTGGACACCGCAGGAAGCACATCCCCGTCTTCTCCTTGTCCCCATCTCCGTTTTCCACGGGGCCCTTCTTCTCCTCTCAGCCCCTGCCCCCCACTTCGTAGAACTCGACGGAGCACCTTTCTCCCGCTCCAGGACCTCGCCGCGGTCCTCATGGGACTGCGACAGCGGGGAGCTCAGGGGAGGACGGCCAAAGATGCCGGAAGGACCCGTCAAGGACCAGGGAGTCGTGTGGTTCAGAGAGGTGAGCCCGGCCATCCGCGTGGAGGCGGCAACGGTGCACAAGTCCTTTAATTAATTATTCCACCCTAAGGACCTAATCCATCCTACTCACGTCCCAGAGGCCGCCACATGTAAGCCCCACAGCTGGGCTTAAATCTACGCTGTCTTAAGAATCATCAGCCTAGAACTTTGGGGTCTAAACTCCTGAATGATTGCCCCAATCATGTTCGTGCCACGGAGACATTTCTCCTGCTTTCCCACCAGGGGGCAGTACTTCCACACTCAAGAGTCTAAAGCTGCAAAGTCTTTGGATCCAGGACTGAAGCAAGCAAGGCACCCAAAACTCAAGCGAGACACACACACACGCACACACACACACACACAGTGCCAGCCCCATGCACAGGGCAGGCTGAGTCTCAGATGCTATAGGAAGTGAGGGAGTGTAGAAACCCCCACTGCCCCAGGCTGCCAGGAAACCCAAAGGACCCTCATTTATTTTTTTTAAAGATTTTGTTTTAAAGGCAGAGAGAGATCTCCCACCTGCTGGTTCACTTGCCAAATGCCTAGAACAGCCAGGGGTGGGTCAGGCCAAAGCCAGGAGCCAGGAACTCAAGCCAGGTTTCCCATACGGATGGCAAGGAGCCAATGACCTGTGCTATCACGTGCTGCCCTCTAGGTGTGCATTAGCAGGGAGCTGGAATGATAAGCCAAGCTGGGACTTGAACCCAGGCACCAGATACGGGATACAAGCCTCCCAAACAAGCAGCTTTGGCGCTGTGCCAAACACCTGCCCCGGGACACTCATTGAGACCAGACTCGCTGGGGCAGAAATTTCCTGTACCACCAACTGATCACGCACCCTTCCCACTGACACACTCCCAGTGCTGGGGAGCTCACTACCTCAAGAGTGTCAGAAATCTCACCATCTTGGGCCAGTGCTATAGCACGGTAGGTTGAGCCTATGCCTGCAACATCAGCATCCCATATGAGCACTGATTTGAGTCCCGGCTGCTCCACTTCTAATCCAGCTCCCTGCTAATGTGCCTGGGCAAGCAGTGGAAGACGGCCCAAGTGCTTGGGTCCCTGCACCCACAGGGGAGACCCAAAAGAATCTCCTGGCCCCTGGCTTCTGGCTCCTGGCTCTGGATCAGCCCAGTTCACGCTGTTGCAGCCATTTGGGAAGTGAACTAGCAGGTGGAAGATCTCTGTGTCTCCTCCTCTCTCTGTGTAACTCTGACTTTCAAATACATAATCTTTTTAAAAAAAAAAATTAAAACTAAAAAGAGATCTCACTCCTTCTATGAGTCATATATGGAAGCCTCCCCACCCCCGCCCACTAACCCCAAGCACTAAGAACCTTAAAGTCTGCACTCCCAGGCGCATACCCCCACCCCACCCCACCCCCACCAGGAATCTTCCCCAAGGCCAGCAGTCCTCATTTCTTCCATTTCTGGTTTAGTTCATTCACATGCTCAACGCTGTGTGTGCTCAGCCCTGTGCCAAAATCTAAGCACACCACACTGAACAAGAGATGGGAGTCTCAGCCTGCCAGACCCTCCTCGAAGGGCCTGATCAGACCTAGAAGGTCTGTCACCCCCCCTACACTTCCCTGTGACCAGAACCTGCTGTGCCCACTGATCCACAACAGCTTCCCTTCTGAGCACCCAGAGGGAGCTCCAGACTCCTGGTTTCAGCCCGGCCCGACCATGGTCATTGCAGACATTTGGGGAATGAACCAGTGGGGAGATTCTCTCTCTCTCTCTCTCTCTCTCTCTCTCTCTCCCCCCCCCCCCAACTCTGCCTTTCAAATAAGTAAATCTTTTTTAGTTAAATGAATCAAGCAACCAAGCCAGGAGCCCAGAACTCCTTCCAGGTCTCCCACATGAGTGACAGGGACCTAACCGCTTGAACCATCTGCGGCTGCTTCCCAGGGCGCATCTTAGCAGGCAGGGGAATCAGGAGAACTGGGCACTCCAATGTGGGGTGCAGGCACCCCAAGTGTCATCTTAACTGCTGCATCAGATGCCAGTCCCCTCATATTTCAGTGTTTATAACTTCATATCCTACTCAATTATAAGACATTGGGGCAGTGGGGGGGACCAGTACTGTGGCATACAGGTAAAGCCACCGCCTGCAGTGCCGACATCCCATATGGATGCCAGTTCATGTCCCGGCTGTTCCGCTTCCGATCCAGCTCCCTGCCTAATGCACCTTTCATAACTTGAAAGGGTAATGTCTGTCATATGTAAAGAGCTCTTGGAAAGAATCAACAGTCTATGGCAATCTATGGAAAAGTCAGCAAAGATATGAATCTTGGGCTCACAGAGAGAGAGACACACATAGTTCTTAGGCACAGGGGAAGGTGCTGAATTTCAGAAGGGAAGTGAACATGACAACTGCACCGCGATATCATTTTTCACCCACCACGTTGGCAAAGATCAAAGAGTTTGATAACGCCCACTGGTGATGAGGCTGTGGGAACGTTGGCACCGGGTACCTGATGTTGAGGGAGGAAATCGTACAGCCCCCATAGCAGGACATGGGGCCACTGCCTGTTTAAATGACAAATGCACTCACCTTCTGGCTTAGCTCTGGCACTTCCCAGAATGTGACCCTCAGATACCATCAGCCCACGGGCGAAATGACGCGAGCGCACTTTCGGGCGGCAAGTCATCGGAAACAAGCTACCATCACCAGCCACATGAACTGGCAAAATCATTCGCACCCAGGGCTGGCACCATGGCACAGCAGATGAAGCCACTGCCCACAGTGCCAACATCCCATAGGAGCGCAGGTTCAAGTCCCGGCTGCTCCACCAATGAACCAGCTCCTTGCTAACATGCCTGGGAAAGCAGCAGAAGATGTCCCAAGTCCTTTAGTCCCTGCCACATACATGGGAGACCCTGATGGAGCTCCCCACTCCTGGTTTTAGCCAGCCATTGTGGCCTTTTGGGGAGTGAACCAGTGGTGGAAGGCTTCTCTGTCTCTCCTCCCTATACCGCTGCCTTTCAAGTAAATAAATAAATCTTTAAAAACAACAAGACTGTTCTCTAATGTCTGAAATAAAATTTTTTAAAAATTGCTTGCAGGATAGACACTTGGCCTGGAGGTTAGGTTGCCTGCATCCTATATCTGAATGAGATTTGATTCCTGGTTTTGCTCCTGAGCCTTCTGTTGGTGTAGCCCCTAGGAGAGACAGAGGAGAGAGAGAGAGAGAGAGAGAGAGAGAGAGAGAGAGAGATCTATCTGCTGATTCACACACACACACACACCCAGTGCACACAACAGCCAAGTCTGGGCCAAGCTGAAGCCAGGAGCCCAGAATTCCATCCAGGTCTCCCACATAAGAGGCAGATACCCAGGTACTTTTGCCATCACCAGCTGCCTTCCAGGGTGCACGTCAGCAGGAAGCTGGATCAGAAGTGGAGTACCAGGGGCCAGCACTGTGGTGTTAGTAGGCCAATAAGCCTCTGCCTGCAGTGTCGGCATCCATATGGGTGCCAATTCATGTTCCAGCTGCTCCTCTTCCAATTGAGCTTTCTGCTTATGGCCTGGGACAGCAGTGGAAGATGGCCCGAGGGCTTTGGCCTCTGCACCCGTGTGGGAGAGACCTAGAAGTAGCTCCTGGCTCCTGGCTTTGGATCAGCTCAGCTCCAGCCATTGAAGCCATTTGGGGAGTGAACCAGTGGATGAAAACTTTCTCTTTCTCTCTCCCCTTCTCTCCCTCCTCCCCCTCCCCCTCTCCCCCTCTCTCTGTAGCTCTGCCTCTCAAATAAATAAATAAAATCTTTTAAAAAATAAAATAAAAAAGAGATGGAGTACCAGGAATTGAACCAAGCACGCTGGCATGGAGTATGGGTGTCCCAAGTGACATCCTAACCACTGCACTAAGTGCCTGCCCTCCGGAGCATGTTTTCACCTGTACCTTCCTCCCATCCACCCCAGTCCTGTGTGGCCCTCCTCTCAGGTGTCATCAGCAGGAGCCACCTTACTCCAGCTCCTCCTGTCTTTGTGAGCCAACCATGCTGCCTTGTAGGCTATTCCCGGCCACTTCGCCACCGGCTTCCCTCCCACCTCAACTGACCCTGTACCCTGCCCACTTCCTTCTATGTGTACCTGACCTTCCCCTCCCTCCCCTGCTTGTCAAAAATGAGGACGTAACAGAAAGCAGCTTGATAAAGAAGAAAAGCAATACCTCTGCGTTTCCCACCCTGATTCCACCTCTTGGAGCAGCTTTGCCTGCCTTGCTCCTCCCAGCTCAGAACAGCTCAGAAGCAAGAATGGGACGGGCACCATGGCTCTGAGGACGGGGCGGGGGGACACAACCACTGGCGGGGCAGTGAGTCACAACGGCAGCGTGGTCAGTCGCCACCCACCCCGACCCCCCGCCTGTACATGTGTGGTGAGTGTATTTATTTTCACTCAGCCTCACACACCACAGGATGGAAGTGGGGAGATGGTTACAGCAGAAACATGCTCAGAAACTGCCCCCCACAGCCCCCTCTTGCTGGGAGAGGAAGCCAAAGCCTTCACCTCGACCCACAAGGCCTGGCACACCTGGCCAGCCTCACCCCTCCATCTCTCTCAACACCTCCCTCACTCTACACCATCCACACACACTCAGGCATGGTCCTGCCACAGGACCTCGGCACAAGCTGTTCTCTACACCTACTGCTCTTCCCTAGGGACACACACGACCGCCTCTCTCACCTCCACAAGTCTCCTCAAATGTCATCTGTTCAGCAAAGCCCCTCTGGATCTCCCCACTGCAGTGATGATGACCCGCTCACTCCTTCCTCTCCCAAGCCCCCGCCTCTTTTTCCTCCATGACACTTGCTGGTGGTTCCCCTACACATTTTTCCTTTTTGAGAAAAAAAAAGCTTTATTTTTTAAAGATTTATTTTATTTATTTGAAAGAGTTACAGAGAGAGTTAGAGACAGAAAGAGAGGTCTTCCAACCACTGGTTCACTCCCCGATTGGCCACAACAGCCAGAGTTGCTCCGATCCAAAGCCAGGAGCCAGGGGCCTCTTCCAGGTCTCCCACGTGGGTACAGGGGCCCAAGGACTTGGGCCATCTTCTACTGCTTTACTGGGCCATAGCAGAGAGCTGAATCAGAAGTGGAGCAGCCAGGACTAGAACCAGCGCCCATATGGGATGCTGGTGCTTCAGGCCATGGCTTTAACCCACTACACCACAGCGCCAGCCCCAAAGCTTTATTTGATATTTGAAAGGTAGAATGACAGAGAGGGGGAGAGGCAGAGAGAGAGAAAGAGAGAGATCTTCCATCCACTAGTTCACTCCCCTAAGTCGCTACAACGGCCAGAGCTGGACCAGGCTGAAACCGGGGGCCTGGAGCTCCCTCTGGGTCTCCCAGGCAGGTGGCAGGGGCCGAAGCACTCTGACCATCTTCCGCTGACTTCCCAGGAGCATCAGAAGGACTCAAGGCAGAGCAGCTGGGGCTTGAAGCCAGTACTCTGATACAGGATGCCAGCATTGCAAGCAGCAGTCATAGTGCTGCACCACCATGCCGGCCCTACATTTTTCTTATTTAGTTTTAATCTGTCACCCCCACCACAGAGGCAGGAACCACATCTATTTTTTTTCTTTTCTCTCTCCCCAGACCAATGACTGCCTCTAAGATCTTGAGACACAGGAGGATTGTTAAAGATGAACCACAAGAGAAAAAAAAATTTGATAAATTTGACTGCCTCTGATTCTTGAACTGTTGCACAGCAAAACATGCCCCGAACAAAATGAAAAGGCAGATCAGACAAGAAAGTTTATATTTTACAATAAATATTAGCTAAATGAGTAAAGAACAGAAGCTGAATAAATGAGTATAAGTATTTTGATTGAGCAGAGTTTAGCCCTTGGTGGACAAAGCAAAAAGGGAAGCAGGATTAGTTACATTCTCCGTGAGGATAAAACAGCCCAGTGCCCAGTGCCGGCGCAGCGGTGCAGCAGGTAAAGCCACCACCTGCAGTGCCGGCATCCCATATGGGCTCTGGTTTGAGACCCAACTGCTCCGCTTCTGATCCAGCTCTCTGCTATGGCCTGGGAAAGCAATAGAAGATGGCCCAAGTCCTTGGGCCCCTGCACCCACGTGGGAGACCCGGAGGAAGCTCCTGGCTCCTGGCTTCAGATCAGCACAGCTCCAGCCGTTGCAGCCATTTGGGGAGTGAACCAGCAAATGGACGATCTCTCTCTCTCTTTCTGCCTCAGCCTCTCTGTAACTCTGCCTTTAAAATAAATAAATAATAAATGTTAAAAAAAAAAAAACAGGCCGGCGCCACGGCTTAATAGGCTAATCCTCTGCCTGCGGCACTGGCACCCCAGATTCTAGTCCCAGTCGGTGTGCCGGATTCTGTCCTGGTTGTTCCTCTTCCAGTCCAGCTCTCTGCTGTGGCCTGGGAGGGCAGTGGAGGATGGCCCAAGTGCTTGGGCCCTGCACCCACATGGGAGACCAGGGGGAGGCACCTGGCTCCTGGCTTCAGATCAGCGCGGTGCACCAACTGCAGCATGCCGGCCGCAGCGGCCATTGGAGGGTGAACCAACGGTAACGGAAGACCTTTCTCTCTGTCTCTCTCTCACTGTCCACTCTGCCTGTCAAAAAAAAAAAAAAAAAGCCAGCCCAGTTGCCAGGGCAGGCCATGGATCAAGGCATTTACCTGCTTCTTCTCATTCAGTCTTCACCAGAGGCTTCTGTCCATTTGCAGATAATCATTTACAGTCAGGGAGGGACAGTGACATCAGTGAGGCCCCTCAGCCAGGACTGGGAAATTGATCCTGCCCAGCTCCCAGACCATTCTGCTAGCCACCGAGCCAGCTTGTCCTGAGCTGGTCTGATTATAAGGCTCACTGGGGTGGGCATTTGGCATTGTGGTTAGGATGCCCACTTCCCACATCACAGGGCCTGGATTCAGGGCTCTGCTCCTGATTCCCGCTTCCTGCTACTGTGCCCCTTGGGAAGCATCTCTGAAGGCCCAGTGGCTGAGTTCCCACCTCCCATCTGCGAGGCCTGAACTGAGTTCCTGCCTCCTAGCTTTGGCCTGGCTCAGCCCTGGCGGTTGTAGACATTTTGAAGAGTGAAGCACTGGATAAGAGTTAGTGCTTGTTAGCCCTCTCCCCCTCCCCCTCCCTCTACCTTCCCTCTCCCTCCCCCCCTCAAAATAAATGAAATGTTTTAATCACCTAGGTGTCAGTGAAAATGCAGATTCCCAGGCCTAGGCCCTGGAAAGTCAGATTCAATGTCTATAATGAAGCTAGCACCCCTAGGTGATTCTGTGGTCCAGGGAGTTTCACGTAGCAGATGAAAGAGAGAAACACATGAGCCAAATATCTCAGTGTAAGAAGCAAAACTTTATAACATTTAGAAAAGCATTTGGGAGACAGTGACTTTGAGAAACAACAGGATTCCTTAAAAAAAAAAAAAACTATACAAACCACAGAAGATTTGTACATTGGCCACATCAATTTTCAAACTGCTGGACAGCAAAAGATACCATAAATAAAGGGAAAAGACAAATCAGATGAGAAGGTGACGTTCCTATGGAATGAAGGGTGTGAGAATGTGGGTCCGCGATGTATAGAGAGCGCTGAGACATCGATAAGAAAAAAGTAAAAAACCTGAGGGAGCAGGCAATTCATAGAACTGGTTAATAGATCTTGGGAAAGGTAGTCAACACAGGACTGTAGATTCAAATCATGTACACCCCCTTGACTGACAAAAGACAAAAAAGCCCTTCCAAACCAAGGATGAGTACGGCAAACACAAATGTCCTCTCATGTGGGGGAGCATACATTGTTTTGTGTGTGTGTGTGTGTGTGTGTGTGTGTATTTTGACAGGCAGAGTGGACAGTGAGAGAGAGACAGAGAGAAAGGTCTTCCTTTGCCGTTGGTTCACCCTCCAATGGCCACCACGGCCGGCACACCGCACTGATCCGATGGCAGGAGCCAGGTACTTATCCTGGTCTCCCATGGGGTGCAGGGCCCAAGCACTTGGGCCATCCTCCACTGCACTCCCTGGCCACAGCAGAGAGCTGGCCTGGAAGAGGGGCAACCAGGACAGAATCCGGCGCCCCGACTGGGACTAGAACCCGGTGTGCCGGCGCCGCAAGGCGGAGGATTAGCCTAGTGAGCTGCGGCGCCGGCCGAGCATACATTGTTAACACCTGTCTGCAGAACTGTGGGCATGTCAAGGTTGAAGACACCTCTGGAATCTACAATTCCTCTCCTAAGTTTATAGCCCAGACCTGGCCATACCTGTTTTTGTCAGTAAAGTTTTATTGGAACACAGCTTCGCCCATGTGTTTACGGATTGTCCATGGCTGCAATGGCAGAGTAGAGTCAGCACAGCAAAAGTCATCTAATCCACAAAGCCAAAACATTCACTTTCTGGCTCTGGACAGGAAATGCCTTGTTAACAGAAATGTTAGTGCTTCTCAAACTTCCATGCAAAAGTGGATCACGTGGGCGTCTTGTCAGAAGGGCAGGTTCTGATTCAGCCATCCTGGGAGAGGCCTGGAATTCTGCACGTCTTATAAATCCTTAGGCAATGCTGACACAGTTGGTCCACAAAACCCAATGTGAGTCTGGAAGACCCAGATCACAGCGGGTTCAGCCAGAACGTCTAAGAACTCACGTGGACGAGATGGAAAAATGTGACCCCATCGGCAACTTGAACTCATTCTGCCTCTGCCCCAGGCAGCCACCACCACAGCAGGCGAAAACGTTCATCCAACATGGATTGCTCATCCTAGGTGGGCCCCGTGTAAAGTTCAGAGAGGAATTTTATGCACTCACATCCAAAGAGCTCTCACCTGCCTTGGAGGATGGGTGGAAGAGGAAATGTACCACATGATTGCATGTCTTCAAAATTCAGTCCCCAAATCAATCATGAATCTGACAAGGATAACCCAAGGGGCACAGGATTCCCCATGGTGGAACGTCTTACAACAGTAGCTTCCGGAAAAGCCACATGGAAAATTACCAGCTGCCCGATGGCTCTCAGGGGCACAAGCCACACCTGGCCCAGGAGGAGGGTAACCAACACATCTCGGCTGGATGTTCTAGACAGCCACACAAGTTTACTTATTCCACAGACTCTCAAAGACTACTTTCTTTACCAGTCCCCACTTGACACTTAGTATGAACTCAAAAAATTGTTGCTGAAAAGGCATATGTATTTGCTGAATGAATAAATTATTCATATTCAGTTCCAAGGAACATCATATATAAATAGCATGGACAAAAAAAAAAAAAAGAAGAGCCAAGCCATGGAGAAGCAAAGGAATTTTGGAAGTTGAGGACTTTTCCCCTGGACTGGGCTCCTTTATAAAAAGGAAAGGTGAGAGAAGCTAACACGTGTTGGCTGCATACTCTGTGTCGTGCCGTATACAGAATTAACAAGGTTTCATCTTCTTAAACCACCTGAGGCAATAGGGCAGCAGGAGGCTTCTTCCCCCAAGCCAGCCATCTCCAAGCAGGAGGAAGAAGAAGGTTGTGGATCTGAGTGGCTCCTGTGTGAAGGACAGTATGAGAGGTAGATGCTTGCAAGAAGCAGGTTTTGGGTCAAGAGAAGGATTCATGAAGTAGATTTGGAGAAGTGAGCCCTCCGTCCATGGAGGTATTGAAGTGGACTGGATGAGAACCCATCAATAGACGCTGGGGGCCTCTGCAATGCAGAAAAATCTTTGCTTGCTTTAAGGCAACTGTGATGGACAGGCTGGGGCCACACCCTCCAAAGTAGGCTTCCTTCCATCCTTCCCCTGATGGTCCCAGGCACCAGGGAGAAGGCAGGCCCCTGGGCCTCACCCCACTCACACTCAGCACAGCAGTTGAGCCAGTAGTGCAGATCCTTGGCCAGGCAAGGTCTGGTTGAGTGCCCTGCTGTGACCAGCAGGACAGGGAACCAGTCAAGGCTTTCTTTGCTCCTGCCAGAGAGCTGGGCACAGGGCACAGGGGCCTGGCCTTGTCCAGTGCCAGCTCTGGACCAGAACCAAGGGACATGTGCAGGCATAGCCAGACCCAGCTGTAGTGTGCAGGGTCTGGTTAGAGCAAGGCTCCTAGCCCACGCAGACTGTTGAATGGATGAATGACGAACACACATTCATAGGAATGAATGAATTAAGTGAATAAATGCATAAAGAATGCAGGAATCTTAAGGCCAGGAAGGTGTCCCCATACCTGTCACTAATCTGGGCAGGGAGGGAAGACCCAAAGATCACAATTGGGTGTGTGAGGGGGCAGGTGCTTTGTAAGCAAATGAATGAGAGAATAGATGGCTAACAAGTGAGTGCATGAGCAAATGATTAAATGAATGAAAGGGTGAAAGGATGGGTGGATAGTAGGATTCATGGGTGGATGGGTGGATTGATGATGGGTGCATGGGATTAGTGCATGAAGAGAGGATAGTAAAATGGATGGCTGGATGGATGAATGGTGGACAGGTGGCTGATGAGAAGATGAACAGGTGGGTGGGTAGATAAGTGGATGGATGATGGATGGATGAGACAATGAGCAGGTGGATGGATGGGCAAAGGGGTAGATGGATGGACAGGAGGAAGGAGGGAAGGAAGGAAGGAGGGAGTGACAGTCCAAAGCATAAATCTAAGAGCAAGGCAGAGCCATGATAGAGCCCACGATGGGACCCCACTCCCTCCACCTAGAGGCCTGGCCTGCTCACTGGGAAGTGGACTCTCCCAGCCAGGGTGCACCCTGCTGCCTACAGGCCTTTCCCAGTCCCAGCTTGGTCAAGGCCACGCCACCCATCCCCCACCCAAACCCGCACGGTCCCAACCATCCCTCAGGAATCAGGGGGATTCCTGACCCCCTGCCCATCCCTGAGGTGCCTTGCAAGAGGCTTGGGGTTTGATGCGCAGTTTGTGGGGCAAGGAAGGTGGAGTCAGCCCCTTGGGACTGTCCCCTGAGACAGGGCAGGTCACCCCAGGAGGCAGCCCCATGGGATCAGCAGCGGGTGTCAGCAACACATCTGAGAGCCCTGGGGCCCGGCATCTGGGGTGCATAGGTGACCACAACCCCCAGCACGGCCTGAGCTCCGGCCTGGACCCCATGTGCCCATCCAAGAGTTGGCAGCTGAAGAGGGCAGCCTGTAAGGGCATGTCGACTCTCCTGGGAGTAGGGGCTGCAGGCTCCTGGAGCGATCTGGGAGAAGCAGCCATGCCAGTCCACCTGTGAGCCACCAGGCAGCCCTGGCATCCTGGCACCCCAGCGCCCAGGGAACACGGCCTCAAGAGGCAGCCGTGGGAGCCAGGCAGGAGCGAGAGGGGTTCAGCCCCATGGTAGGGGTCCCCAGTCCAGGGAGATTCCCATAGCAGGGCATGCAAGGGTAAGGTGCAGGGGCTGCCCATGGTGGACAAGAGGCCGCATCGGAGCTGGAGCGCCCGCAGCTCAGCTCTGAGCAGAGCGTTCTCCTGCAGCAGTGCGGCCAGCCTGCCCTCAATGGCCGCATCGTTGAGCCGCCTCTTCTCCCGGGATCTCTTGGCCGCCTCGTTGTTCTTCCTCCGCTTTTCCCAGTAAACCGTGTCCTTCTTGTCTTCCGGCATGAACTCCCGCTGCCGACGCACAGCTGGGCCCCTGCCCCGGGGGGGCCACAGGCTCTTGCCATGACCCCGAGACGCATCTGTTGGGCTCAAGATGCCGATGTCCATGACCGTGCATGCAGTGGACCTAGGGAAGAGGAAAGAGGTCTTGGGGTGGAGGCAGGGGGTTGACCCAAATGACCCCTTCCTCTGATTCATCCTGTGTGGCCGCAGCTACCTGTGGACAGAGTTGGGCTGCAGACCAGGGTGAGGGATTTGGGGGAGAGAAAGGGGAGCTGGCAGACTGAGCAGGGGTGAGCAGGGCACAGAGAAGGGCCACAGTCATCATGGGGAGCTATGGACGCTGCGTCCTCAGAAGGATTCGGTTCCATCCAGGAATGTTCTTACCACGTAGAAAGTGGACAAGCCGAGGGCTCTCAGGGTGAGGTTCTTGGAGACCCAGAGGGAGACAGAAGGAAGGCTGAACCTACAAAGAGAGAGGAGAGAGAGAGAGAATGAATAAATGAATGTGTGTCCATAGAGGGAACTGAGCAGAGTCAGGGCCAAAACCTAAGCTGAGACTTAAGCTGTGCACGGGTTGTACTCCCAAGACCTCCCGTTCAAAGGCCAGAGTTGTGGGCCTGCCCACCCACCCATCCATCAGGCAACCTCATCACTCATCACTCATCCCTCCACCCGCGCTCCCAACCAACCTACCATCTCTCCACCCACCCCCTCTCAAACCTTCATCCATCTCGCCATCCGTGAGGAGCAGGTGTGTCCTACATCTGTCTGCCACCGGGACTCTGGGACCTAGCATGGTGCTTGTAAATGGCAGGTGGCACAGGAACACCCAGAATGAACGACCTGTTCACAGCTGGTGAGTGACTGGCCCTCCTGCCGAACCACTCACCAAAAACCATGAACCCTACCACATTTCCCTCTTTACATTTGCCACCAGGAAACTCAACACTCAGTTTTATGATGAACTGTAGCGGCTTTCTTGAATTGAAAGTGCAGTGAATTGTGCTGGGAACTCAATTCCCAAATTCCTATACTAGAAGTATTTGGAAGGGGAGCAGCGCTGTGGCTCAGTGGGTTAATCCTCCGCCTGCGGCGCCAGAATCCCACACAGGTGCCGGTTCTAGTCCCGGCTGCTCTTCTTCCCATCCAGCTCTCTGCTATGGTCCAATAAAGCAGTGGAAGATGGCCCAAGTCCTTGGGCCCCTGCACCCATGTGGGAGACCTGGAAGAGGCTCCTGGCTCCTGGCTTCAGATCGGCACAGCTCCAGCCATTGTGGCCATTTGGGGAGTGAACCAGTGGACGAAAGACCTTTCTCTCTGTCTCTCCCTCTCACTGTCTGTAACTCTGCCTCTCAAATAAATAAAATCTTTAAAAAAAAAAAAAGTATTTGGAGGCAGCCCCTTTGGGAGGTGAGTGGGTCAGAAGGGATCTCCTTCGTGATTGGACTAATTCATTCGTGGACCAGGGGATTAACTGGCTATCAGCTTAGTGGCTTTGCTTTCCCGGCAAGCACTCTCTGGTAAACCTGCTGTGTCTCATCAGGTGATGCCCGCTGTCACGTTATATGATGCAGCCACAAGGCTTTGCTCACTTCTGAGTGGGCACCAAGGCCACGCTCTCGGGACTTCCCAGTCTCAGGACCGTGAGCAAAATGTACTTGTACTTGTGATAGATGACCCAAACTCAGAAAACAAACTGGGACATCATCCGGCTATCTATGAGTTCACTGGTGGATTCCTTTAAAAAAAAAAAAAATATTGTGGGGCTGGCGCTATGGCACAGCAGGTTAACGCCCTGGCCTAAAATGCCGGCATCCCATATGGGCGCTGGTTCTAGTCCTGCCTGCTCCTCTTCTGATCCAGCTCTCTGCTATGGCCTGGGAAAGCAGTAGAAGATGGCCCAAGTCCTTAGGCCCCTGCACCCATGCAGGAGACCCAGAAGAAGCTTCTGGCTTCTGGCTTCAGATCAGCACAGCTCTGGCCATTGCAGTCAATTGGGGAGTGAACCGTCGGATGGAAGACCTCTCTCACTCTCTCTGCCTCTCCTCTCTTTGTGTAACTCTGACTTTCCAATAAATAAATAAATCTTTAAAAAAATTTGTGACTTTGCTAGACATCTTTCCGTCCACACATTCTGTCCTTGGTACCACCCATGTGCCAGTCATTCTTCCACAAATCCATTCAGCCATCTGCATATCCATCCATGGATGCATCCGTCCGCCCAACCAACAAAAAAGCAATGTTTGAGGACTTTCCGTGTAGCCAGAATTGGAGAACCAGTGCACTGAGAATGAGAGCAGAACAGGAGGGATGCTCCCAAGATAGAGCTCAGAAAAGACTCCCAGTGTCCAAGGATGGGCAGCCCCCTCCTTTGCCACAGCCCAGTCTCTCATGTTGGTTTTCCTGCACACTCTAGCACACAGATTTGGGTTCTCCTATCATCACCTTATGTGATTCTGATACAAAATAGGAAGAAGAGTCATAGACAAGTATAAGGGTTCCACCTAAGAATTCAGAACAAGGGGCCAGCGCTGTGGCCTAGTACATTGGGCCTCCCCTGCAGCGCCGGCATCCCATATGGTCGCCAGTTCATGTCCCTGCTGCGCCTATTCTGATCCTGCTCCCTGCTGATTGCCTGGGAGAAACAGTGGAAGATGGCCCAAGTGCTTGGGCCCCTAAACCCACATGGGAGACCTGGGTGGAACTCCTGGCTCCTAGCTTCAGCTTGACCCAAACCCAGCCATTGCAGACATTTGGGGAGTGAACCAGCAGATAGAAGACCTCTCTCTCTCTCTCTCTCTCTCTCTCTCTCTCTCTCTCTCTCTCTCTCTCTTCTTTGCCTTTAAGTAAATAGAGCTTTTTTTATTTTATTTTTTTTTTATTTTTTGACAGGCAGAGTGGACAGTGAGAGAGACAGACAGAGAGAAAGGTCTTCCTTTTGCCGTTGGTTCACCCTCCAACGGCCGCCGTGGCCGGCGCACCACACTGATCCGATGGCAGGAGCCAGGAGCCAGGTGCTTTTCCTGGTCTCCCATGGGGCGTCCTTCTCACGCACCTGGGCCATCCTCCACTGCCTTCCCTGGACACAGCAGAGAGCTGGCCTGGAAGAGGGGCAACCGGGACAGAATGCGGCGCCCCGACTGGGACTAGAACCCGGTGTGCCAGCGCCACTAGACGGAGGATTAGCCTAGTGAGCCGCGGCGCTGGCCCAGTAAATAGAGCTTTTTTAAAAATGTTAAAAGCCAAGCCAGAGCCAGCAGTGACCCAAGCAAGATCAAGAGTAGGATGGTGGTCAGCCGTAAGAAGGACGGGACAGAGCAGCTGCCCGCCTGGTGCAGCGGGCCTGGGTCCTCCTGCAATGCTCGCTCCTGAGTGGCTCCCCGCTGTGGCTTGGCCTGAGCCCCCCAGTCACCGCCCCCAGCACCTCTGCAGGAACGCAGAGAGAGATGGGGCTACAGATAGGTCTGCTGCCTGAGTTTATTTCGAGAAGATGGAGTGAGGGTTGATCTTCCTGTGGTCAAGGAGGAAGCCCTAACGGAGACCAGTGAGACGGCGAGGGAACAGGAAAAGAGTCTTCCTCACACGGCCCAGGCCACCTCCACCCCAGCCCCATCAGCCTCTGCAGCCTCCCTGACCGGCAGCAATCATGACTCTGCTTGGTTCCCGGGAGAGACAGGGAGCTCAGTCCCTTCAAAGTTGGCTCATGTGCTGTCAAACAGGCTGAGTGCCTGAGAATGTTTTCCTGAAGTGGAGCTAAAATGTACCTTCACCAGCCTCTGCCCTGTAAGCATCCGTGACTAATTTAACTTTCATTTTGCTGTTTTTAATTGTTTTATTTATTCGAAAGGCAGGGAGACAGTAAGACAGACAGAGCTGTCCGGTCCACTGGTTCACTCCCCAGACCCTCACAACAGCAGGGACTGGAGCTGGCCAAAATCAGAAACCAGGAACTCAGTCAAGCTCTCCCATGTGAGTGGCAGGGGCTCAAGTGCTCGAGCCGTCACTGCTGCCTCCCGGGGCATTAGCAGGAAGCTGGAGTCAGGAGTGGAGTCGGCACTCGAACTCAGCATTCGGATGTGGCATGTGGGCACCCCAAGATGCACCTTAACCACTGAGCCCAATGCCCACCCCAGGAGGGGCTTCTGATGTTTTACAGCACAGTCCAGATACTCTGGGTGACTACAGTTAATTAAGTATTTCAGTTAGGAGAGAGGGGTTAAAAGGTGCCCAACACAAGGATGTGTCAGTCACCCCAGGCTGACCACTGCCAACTGTGTACAGGCACTGAATTGCAACGTGGCACCCCGTCAACTCTGTACCCCTTAAAGGAAATTATCATGAGTCCGTTAACACTTTAGAGAGTGGAGGTGCAGTGGTTAAGACACAGCTTAGGATGCCTGCATTCCATATTTGAGTGTCTAAGTCCCACCACCGCTCCTGATGCCAGCTCCCTGCTGTTACGCATCCCAGGAGGCGGCAATGATGACCCAAGTGCTTGGGCCCCACACCCATGTGGGAGACCCGGATGGAGCTCCTGGCTCCTGGCTTCAGGCTGGCCCAGCCCTGGCCATTGCAGGCATTTGGGGGAATGAACCAGCCAATGAGAGTTCTCTGTCTATCCATAATATCTTTGTCTCTGTCTCTCTGCCCTTCAAATAAATTAAATAGATAATTTTTTAAGATTTATTTGTTTGTTTGAAAGTCTGAGTTACACAGAGAGAGAAGGAGAGGCAGAGAGAGAGAGGTCTTCCATCCACTGGTTCACTCCCCAGTTGGCTGCAATGGCCAGAGTTGCGCCAATCCAAAGCCAGGAGCCAGGAGCTTCTAGGTCTCCCGTGTGAGGAGTGCAGAGGCCCAAGGATTTGGGCCGTCTCCTACTGCTTTCCCAGGCCATAGCAGAAAGCTGGACCAGAAGTGGAGCAGCCAGGACTTGAACCAGCGCCCATATGGGAGTAGCGGCTTTACCCACTACTCCACAGCACCAGCCCCAGATAAATATTTTTTAAAAGAAGAAAGGGGGGGGGGGGCTAAAACCAGCACCAGTAATAGCTCAGATCGATAAATACAGTTGTCAGAGGAGTCCTAGAGCCACACCTGAGAAGGAA